AAAAAAAAAAAAAAAAAAAAATTTTTTTTTGCTTTACCGTTTGTCGTTTCGCGTGCCATTACCGTTTCATTGAGAGGGAAACTCTTTTGAGCGTATGCCGGATGCTGCGGGACTCCACCACGAGCCGAGACGTGTCAAGAGAGGAGAAGCCGTGCTCATTAAAACCAGGCGGGGTGCCCCCAACTAGTCATCCGTGGCTGCGGGACCATGCCGCGACTGTGACGGGACGCATACCTGGCAGCAAGAAGTCGTACCCGTGCAGACCGCGCGTGTTACCCCCAGCGATCGCTCATTCAGAGAATTTATTTTTGCGTTTTCGGAGCCGGACGCGGCTCACCATTTTGCGGGGTCGGACGCGACCCAACCGCTTTGCGGGGCCGGACGCGGCCAACCAAGGGGCCTTGGACCCACACTTATTTAGCGTTATTGAGAGGGCACGCGAACAGCAGCAGCTCGCCCGCCGCGGACTGCCAACTCCCTTTCGTTTGTAAGTTGGTGGCTATTAGCGTTTGTCTTAATCGAGACCTCCTCGGTCCTCCCCGGGGAAGGGGGAGTTGTGACGGGACGTCCCTTTTTGGACCGTCCGTCACAAGGGTTCTACGGACCCGACCGCGGGCGGTGGTTTCGAGTCCTGCGTCCTTCCGATTTTCGGAGGCGGACGCGTGGCGCGGGCTGCGGGACTACGTTGCGTGGCTCCCGCGCCCGAATACCGATTATCGTTTGTAATTACTTTTAGTCCGTAGCGATCTCGATTAGTTAACTTAGCGTATCGGCGGCTCCCGGAGACCTTGTAACATTTTTACCCGTCTCACCGACGTCGCAACAGCCACAAGAAGAGGACCACAAGGACGGAGAAGCCACGTATACAGGTTGTATTTGAGTCCGCGTTCCTTTACACCATTTAAGAGCAATTAAGCTGCCGAGCTTCATTCCAGATTCCGGTGCGAACCAGCTAAGGCGAGGATAAAGGGGATGGCCACTCTACGCCCCCAGATCGGGCGAGAGACCCCGTAGTCGGCAACGCGACAGGGCGCCCCGGAGGAGCAGATCGGCAGCCAGGGACGGCCCCTCAATATACTCTGTTCCGGAGGGTGAGCTGCCTGAGCGTGCCAACCCGGGAGCGCACCTGATGGTACCGCCGACAAGAAGGATACCGCCGCTAATTCGAATGTCGCGCGCGGGGACGCAGGACCCGCGGCGCTACGCACCTCGCGCGATTCGCGGAGGTCGCGAGCTCGCACGCCCGCCAATTAGGGGCGCGGAAGAAGACACCACGTGGGCCCTCCGGCCCACCGAGCTCACGGAAGCAGCAGCACCCGGCACTTGTGCTGTGGTTAGAGTAGCGGAAGGACGCAGGACGAGCCCGTAATTTTGTGAGCGAGACTGATCATCCACGGAGAATCCAGCCGAGACGAGCTACCGTTCCCGTTAGGAGGAGTTATCGGTGAGACGAACGTATTCATGTAAAGCCGCCGATTTATACTTGTGTCAGACGGGCCGCGAGGAACTCGCGTTCAGACTTATCGTTCTCGTTTTGTAATTCGGCTATCGCCGAGAAAGATTCCGTATATCCCGGCGCCCCGTCTGACTTCGCGTATTGAGATTGTGTTACAGGACCGTCGCGCCCGCCACGCGCCCGCCGAGCGCCACAGCCAAGCCATTCCATGTAATTGTGTCGTTCCCGTCCTTGTGCGCGTGTGAAAATTCGCGTTTTCGAGAGGGCCTTGTGCCCCAGTTACGGGATTTAAAGAGAGTTTCCGGGATCACGGGATCCCGCGGGACATATTAGTTCCCGAGTTCCGATTTCGTGTGTCGATCACGCTGCCCGTGTACGCCGAGCGCTCCGCGCCGGCGTACCCGCGAATATCACGCCCGCACTGCATGCTTCATGATTTTGCATGTCACGCGGATGGGCCGGTAATCTGCGAGTCGTACCGCCGAAAGAGAAACCGCTCTTGAATTTCCGTCTCCGAGACACGATCTTGTCGTACGATCGTGAAAGCGCGAATTGCGAGTCTGTTACGCCGAGTACGCTGCATTGTTGCGCGTCTCAAGTATTTCCGTCGGTTACCGTATTCTCGTCTGTATTTCTGAATGTAATATTCGTCCGCTCAATATACTTGTTATTTTCTTATTGTTACTAATTACTGTCGCTTCTTTCAGCCTATTCTCGCTCCCCCCGAACCTTGACCATTTTCCTTCGAATCACCCCCTTTACCAGTATCGTAACTGAGCGACCGGTTATCGCCGTCCTTGTCCGACCGTCGCATCGAATTCGCACCTGATCGCGTGGTTAATGTTCTCTTGAGTCATTCGATTTCAGAACAGCGAAATATTTCAGTAGAGAGGCACTCTCTATAACGTGCCTGGCGCCCAACTTTATTCCCGTTTTCGATAGGCGAGATGCCTGAGTTACAGTTAATCGCGCATTAGATTCCCGTTTACCGTTTTCGCGGAATTACGCGGGTCGGACGAGCGACGAAGTTGCACCACGCTCGTGAGTGCGGTCGCAATATATATATATGTATGTGAAAAGGCAGTTTTCAGGACGACTTTTAGCATGCATCGGCAGTTTTGAGGACTTGTGGTAGTTATCAGGTACGACCTGAAACCTATATATGTGTATCG